GCAATAATTAGTTAGATACTATCAATAACGTTAACTTCCAATATTAACGAAGAGAAAATTACGAACACGTGAATGATATTGCAATATATTAAAAAGTAAGATGTCCTTTTATTTATAATATTTTTAATTTATACAAATAATCTTTTTTGATTGACATACTTTTGTAAGTAGCATGATACATTGACATTCATATTTTGATATGTATAGATTATCTCCTCTGATCTTTTCTAAGCAGCATGTGAACATGATCATATGATAATTTCATATTATTTTTGTTTATAAAACAATAATGAACGACTTAGAACTTCTCTCAAGTCTCCTTTTAACAACACTCGACCCTTTTCTTTGCTTTTGTATTTCTCAAGTCTTTCAACGCGTCTGGCATTGTTCACATGGGCTCAACGGATCTCTCATTTTTTTTTTTTTTGTTAAATGAATAACTTACATCCCCCTCCTTGTAACTTTCAATACGTAGCTTCGAATTATGCTCTTTCTTCTTTGTAATAACCCATAATCAGCGTAAAAATGTAACGTATGTTTCTTTTTTGTCGCATCAGAAACGGTAAGAGCGCGCGTAATTGCGATTGATTGATAACGATCGATGAAGGGGCAATGTATTGTTACCTGGCATAACAACTGGAGTTATAGCTCGTTGAAACTCAATGCTTAATTTCCAAGTAGTGATGTTCGCACGATAATCGTTTTGCCTTTGACGAGAAAACGTTGACGTGGTTCGATCCCATGCGAGATAATGCGCGCAACTTCCATCAGCACTTCCGTCGAGATTGGACTTCGCTTTATTGGAATCTGGCCGGGTTTGCAGTATGGAACCGTCACTTGGTTCACATACATGATGAGCTTAGTGTTTGCGTTGTACTTTCAATATGTGTACATCTTCGATCACTTCGACGTCAACAATATTTCGAATCTTGTCGATGCGCTTAGCATTACGTTGGCTTATAGTCTTAGTTTTCTAAAATTGATCTCTCTCTGGTTGAACCGCAGGTAGGAATAGTTCCTTAATGTAAACAACAAAGATATTCGATGCAAGATACAATTCGATGCAAGCGATTTTCTTACAGGATTTTTTATGATATCGTGTTAACGATGGAAGAAGATTGGACTAACGTCAACATTTACGATAAATCGGTATCGTGTATTATGGCAAGTAATGCCAATTTATCACGTCATTGTTCGAACGTGTTGATCAGCATTAACGCTGCAGCTGCAATTTGCTACTCCGTGACCAATTTTCTACGTTTGTCGACCGATTTTAAGGAGAATCTGAACATTAGTTCGAGAGTGCTGCCTGTAAAGATGAAATTTCCCTTCAAAGTTGACGTGTCTCCCCTCTTTGAGCTTTTAGCGGTCGGTCAGATTCTTCATGTAGTGTCAATCGCCACTTTAGTTGGTATGATGAATTGCTTGATCATTACGCTGGTGAGTTTAATTTAACCGATCACGTGAATGATTAGTAGCTTTTTAAGATTTATAATTAGAAGATTTATAATTAAATCTATGAGAAAATAAATCTTTGCAAATTTTTAAGATCTTATTTATTATCATCATTATTAAATAAATTGACAATCAATGTAATTTGAAATATTAATATTGCAGTTTATAATTGCGTTTTCAAGTCCGACAAACCGAATCGATGCATAATGTATAAAACTGAAAAATTTATTTGCAAAAAATTTGCATAAGATTATTATTCATCACCAAGATTCACAAAAATAAGATTATTCCCTTAATTAATTATTTCTTTTAATTTATTTCTTTATTTTTAAGATTTATTAGCTTCACTTTCTTCTCTATCTCTTCTTTCGTTTTTTTTTGCTTATGCTCCTGCGAGCATTAATTAAAGCGTAGAATTAAGATTGATTTTTGTCTTCTCTGATTTTGTATTTAAAATTTAGATACTTTGAAAAAGATTATTAATTTGCGGGAGTTCATTTTATGGAATCTATTAATAGTTACGTTTAGGTACTTCACGTAAGTGGACAGATCGATATTCTTCGCCGGGAATTACTGACAATTTGCGGCAACGGAATTTCTCAGCATGATTCAATCGTCACAAGTGTCAGGCTTGTGATTATCCGGCACCAAAAGATAATAACTCTTTCAGAGAATATTGAGGAGCTTTATTCCGACATCGCGCTGATGCAGTTTTTATCGAATACCGTGGTCATCTGCTGCATCGGTTTTACCATCATAGCCGTAAGTTGCATCGTTAATTAATAAAATTTATGGCATTATTTTGTAATTTTACATTAAATTTATTAAATTTATTAAATATCTTTCGAATCTTTCTTTGCAATGTTTTTCAAGTCTCTTGTTAGGGATGGAGCCATAGTGGTGATTTTGAAATCCGCTATTTTTTACGTCGCCGTAACGTTAGAAGCTTTTATCTTTTGTTTCGCGGGAGAATACCTTAGCGCCAAGGTTTGCACATATTTTATCTTATATGATGTGTAATATTCTATTTTATTCTTTCGAGCTACTGGTAATCAATTTTCAAATTTTTTCCCTTCTTCTATAGAACAATTTATCAAGCTTGATCAGTTTAATATGTATTTATGTATATGTGTTTCTTGAATGTTCAAAAAATATGGATCAAACTTGAAATTTAATTCAAAGTACGTTATGGAATTATTCGAAATAGATTTTCTGATCGGAATTATTTAATTATTCCCTAAATTTTTATTGTGTTTTCTAGAGAAATCTCTGAATTCATTTCGAATAATTCTGTAACGTGCCTTGATAAATTAATAGATTTTTTTAAATTTGTATACCATTCTCTTTTTTAGAGCAAATCGGTTGGCGATGCAGCCTACGAGGCACTATGGTATAACATGACACCTGCCGAGTGTCGAATTTTGTTATTTGTGATATTAAGATCGCAGAAGAGATTAACGATTACTGCTGGAAATGTTATGGATCTTTCTTTAGAAGGATTTACGAGTGTGAGAATTTTAATTGCGAATATTAACGAGATAAAACGTCAAAATATTTCATGTTTCTTAAGACAAAATAGAAAATAGTATCTGATTTATTACGCGAACAAAATTTATCATTTCTCTTCAATTAGGTAATGAAAGCATCAGCTTCGTATATGTCAGTGTTGCATGCGATGTATTAAACGAGGCTTAAATGGATAACAATTACTTGTGCCAAGTGTATCCATCGTGATTATCGGTGTATTAGACAGTAGTAAGTGTAGCATTACATATAGTTGAAACGATATCTGTTTTATTAAATATACGAAAAGTGAAAAAGTGAATATAATATATAAAAAATCTATATAATATATAAAATATAATATATAAAAAATAAGTAAATTAATAAAAATAACATAACTAAAAAATAACATAAGTAAAAATAATGCAACTAACTAATAATAAGAAATAACTGACTAAATAAAAATAAATTTTTTGAACAGTATAATTGTAATAAATTGCTTCAGAAATTTTTAGGATTTTTAAAAATATGTAAAAAGAATTTTCAATATTATTTATTTTCTCTCTATATTTTAATAAATTATTCACATTCTCTTACTTCATATTGACAATAGAGTTCAAACTAAGTTTTAGACATTTATATTTATTACACTTCAGAAAATTGTGTATACTTTAAATTTCGATAAAACATAAATGCAAAAATTCCAGTTTTGTTTTTTCATTCATGTTGTTCACTTACTGTGATCTGTGTACTAACTTGCTCACAATAACAATAGGTACCGCTGCGAATAATTATTTTTTCCCTCGATATATGTATTCAATGCCAACGTAGCAATTTAACTTTCCTCACTGTACCGCTCGCGCACGGTTTCTGAATTTATAAGGTTCGAGTAATTCCAGAGATAATGTACTATGTCCGCTTCCCCTGTTCGTTTTTTTTCTTTCATCTATCTATACCCGCCGACATTAAGGCTCTCTTCTCACGTATAAATTTTCATATATATAGTGTTACGCTTAGACTAACTAAAAAAATTATCTAGATGAAGATGAGATAAATTGCACATAAATTACATATCTAAAATAAAATAAAAGTGATTTTATTTTAAAATTATCTAAATAAAAAATAAAATTATAAGTTAATTTATCTAAATACTTTTTAGATAATATAGCCTTTAAACAAAACAATTTAAAACATAGAAACAATATGTTCACATTTCGTAATTTTTCTCATTTATAATATAAATTATTAATCTTTAAAAACTAGAGAAGTCTTTTAAGTATTTCATCTGGCTAACAATATCTGTTTTCATGTAAAAATACATCAATGTATCTCATTCAATAATAATATTATTGTACTTTTTAAAGATAAATGTATACATTGCTCAACTTTCTCTTATATCATCGCAAATTTTTAGCCTCGCTTTCAATTTACCCTTAAGAATTTATCTTCCACAATTGCTGCTGTATATCTCTTTTCGACATATTTAATAGTATTAAGTATTCTACACATTTGATACTCATACGTATGTTCAGCACGTACATTTTTTCTTGCATTTTTAATGCAAATAACGGACGACTGCGTATACGAAAGTATATTGGATGTTTCCGTGGCTGCATTTGCTACTTTTTTTTTTGTAATTATGAAAACATCGATCGTTTTATAGCTTTTCTGACTTCTAACAATGAAAAATAAAACATAAAGTAAGCAAAAAAAAATTATTATCTCTTATACAGTCGAGCTGTAAATTCTTAGAATTTTCATTGAGATTTCTCAATTTACCATATCCCAGAAGTGACTTAAGATATTCAATCATGTCGTAATTGGAAATTTTTTCTTCCAATCTACGACGATTTGAAATTGAAACGATTTGAAGACAAAGTTTTTTTAATCTTGTTGTTGTGACAAGTATTTGAATTGAACCAATCTCTATACGAGATTGATATTAAATAATTTGTTAAATAATCTGAAATTAGTAAATATATAAATCGAGGCCTTCTATATCATAATTTTGTTTATAATGTAAATGTAAAAGAAAATCGAGAATTAGTAACAACTTACCGTGTCATTTCTATGAAGAATTGTCTTCGAGCTTGATGAAGACTGAAATAAATTCGAATACCGTGTGCCGATCTATGCAATACAGTCTTCGTATAACTGATGTATGGCCGGGTACATCGTATGCAATTTTACTTAAAGTCCTCAGCATATTAGCAATGATCGTATTTCAAATCTTTCAGTACCAATACGTGATTGTATATCTTGAAAAATTTAATGAATCTCAGACGCAATAAGCTTAATTTTCGTTTATTCCCTTACGTTTATCAAAATGACTTTTTTCTCATTTGATACGCGATAAGGCTGTTTCACGATATATACCGAGCACAGAATCATGCGATTTATAAACATTTCCCATCTTCATTCTAGTTCTCAGGTTATAAATTATATTGAACAGATTTTCTTTATTTCTATAAATATAATTTTAATTTATGTTTAACATAAAGATAAAATAAAGAAATTTCTGTCTTTATGCAACCTTAAACATTTCTTTAAAGAATCCCTTATAGTTTGCTGAACAAAAATTATAATATGCATGATTAAAGATTGGAAGAAATGCGATATTTTGAATGAGTACACAATGATCAGAATAGCTTACGTATCTCGTTGGTTCTCCAACATTATAATTTGCTCGCATATAACGTCAGTATTTCTTTATACAATAAACACAATAAGAGGATCAAAAATGAAAATTCATCGATGCTCATCATCAAAATGGAGATACCTTTTAAGAGCACATCAATTCACATAAGCTGTTCTTTTTATTCAATTTATTCATCTAACGAGTGCTGGTAGGTGTATTCAATTGTTTTCTGATACCATTGGTAAGTTTGAGAATTTCATCATAATTTGCCTGTAATCCTGAAACAAGAAATAATTATGATGTAATTCTGAGACAGAAGATTGCTAAAACATTTCACATATATAAAATAAAAATAAATATAATTATACAAAAATATTACATCAAATATGATAAAGAAAGCCATGATCGATTAAAGTTAGATGTTTCGAAGAATACATTATATATCCTTTTCATTAAAACAATTTATTTCAGATATGACTGAGCGCCGATAATTTTCGGACTTTTAACTCAGTCAGCTTTCATCAACTAAAACGCTAATAATTCTTCCTAAATTAAAAAGAAAGAAAGAAAGAAATTTATTGTGAAAAATATTACCTCAGCCACGGTTTAATTCGGAGACCTCTCGACTTTTTGGAAAGAGTGTCTTAGCCAACTCGACCACTGAGGCTTTTTTTACAAAAATATTAATTTGTCAAATAAGATTATATAAGCAGGCATGAAAGGTACAGTTTTTAATTTTTGTTCTATGCATTAATATCGATTCAGATCAAAAAAACAAATGCAAAAAAACACAAATGATTATCATTGGTTTACACTTATTGAAATAAACATAATAAGAAAAGAGAAGCATATCATGAAGCTTTGTTATATATTATAAATATATTATAAATCAAATTAAATTAAAAATGTATTGAATTCAGGTATAAAGATTGCACATATTAAAATCATGTCCGTACATGACGTGTTGCTCGGATTTAGATGTGGCATGCTTCTCGTTCTTTAATGATTAGTAACGCTTCACCTTTGTCAATTTGTGAATGATTTAATCATTATGGATATGTGAGTTATAATACTTTTATATTTACATTACTGAGGAAAACTCCAAAAAGAATTGAAACGTTCAAATAAAGAAAACATCATTCCAACTACTGAGTATTAATTTATTAAATAAATTAGTAGTATTAAATTATTAAATTATTTCACAAGAAGTTACGTCGTTTATCAGCACTGACTCTCTCATTAGCTTACTTTATTTATTTAAAATTTGAGAGTTTGTTTTGTAATTATTATTATTTTCTCGAATAAAGTTAATTATGTAATACAATATTTAATTATGTAATAATATTTTTTATAACTAAAAATTAAATATATATACTTATTAACAATATTTTTATTATATTTCCTATATATGCAGTTTTTATAGGAATATTAGTATAGTTCGAAATTTATTTGTTTAAGATTTTTGTATTTACTAAAAGGTTAAAGATATAGCGTGAAAACTTTTACAAAAATAGTTACAGTATTATGAAGCACTTATTTTCATTACAAGAAAATATCATTCCGTCGAGCTGCCTTTTTCCTTGTCACGTAATCTGCAACATCTTCTCGGAGCTACTCACAACAACTGTGCAATTGGCATTTTTATTACAACAAATTGCCAAGGTACGTTTTTATTTCCTTCTCTAACAAAGCTCCTCGATATAGAAAGCTCCTTCTTCAATAGCGAATATAACACTCTTTCATATACAATAATTATAATTTCTATAAAAATTTAAGTGTATTTACAGTGCTACGTTAACAGACAAATTGATAATGTGTACAATGTAAAAAATAAAATGTTAATTTTAACTTAAAGACGTATACAAAAATGTTAATTTTAACATTTTTGCATGTCTCAGAAAATCCACTATATGACTATAAATTAAAATTAACATTTATTTTTTACAGTGTACATGTGTTTGAAAATATTTCTAATGTTATCCATCTTTATGAATCTAGTGTCTTTATTTGAAATACTAATGACAAGAAATACAATGACAAAAAAGACAGAATTATTTTATTTTGTGAGAATATCGAAAAATTTTTCTTTGTCATCACATTACAAAAGTTGTTTAGAATATATTAATTAATTACTCTCTCTCTCTCTCTCTCTCTCTCTCTCTCTCTCTCTCTCTTTTTCTCTCTCTCTCTCTTTCTCTCTCTGTCTAAGATTTATCATTATAATTACTATACAGGCATGATAATTGATATATGTATTCATTTTTCTCTTAATAAATTATTGAATTATTTTATTTATAACAAAATTGAGTTTAGTGTAAAAACTATTTATCGTTACTTTGTAATGATTAAATAAGAATTTATTTTAACTCGAAGACAGGTGTTCCACGTATTAATTGTACAAATTTTTAATCACACAATTATGTTGTTATAATGATAAAAACCTATAAAATTTTCTATATTAAAATATTTTAATATTTTAATGCATAAAATATTATGTAAAATAAATGAATAAGATTTGTCTTTACAGTAAAAATATTTTTGTTCGATATTATTATAACGTGATTTCAATACATTTATTATAATAAAAGATCTTTAAAATTATATAATGTTTATCAATTAAATGTTTATTAGAAGTATGTGATTTTTTACATATTTTAAACATATAAACACAAGACAACAAAATAGGATACAAATAAAGTATTATTAGTTCTATTTTGTTTTCGTATTTTTTTGTTGTAAATTTTGCACTGTTTTCTGTATTTTTTAATATATATATATTTTTATAACGTTAGAATAATATTATAAAAAATTAGTTAATTCTGTAAAATAAATTAAACATTATAAATATAAATGCAAAAAGAGTCATCGCATTTGTATTGCTCTTACGGTAAAATCGCCAATGCAATATATGAATGACTATATAATATGTTGTTATAAAAATAAATGTTATTAAAAATGTTATTAAAAATAAATGTATATAATGTTTATAATAATGTATATAAATGTATATAATAATTTATATAAATATATGTAATGTTTATAATAATGAGAAATAACTATCATGGAGGAAAATTAATGGATCATTTATATATGTCATTTTTTAAAACTTTTCAATATTTAATTATTATATATTAGATGTACAATTTTGCTTCCGCCGTTTTTTTTCCGAAATTCGAGGTTTATTGTAAAAAACTGGTTATACATTTATGATTCAAAGTATTGTTCATCGCTGGCCACTACTTTCTCCCATCTTTCGGGTAGCGTACGAATCCCGCGTCGAAAAAACTGGTCAACTTTTGAGGCTATCCACGAATCGATCCAATTTTTTACTTCTTCATAAGACCGAAAGTGCTGGTCAGCTAGGCTGTATGCCATTGATCGAAACAAGTGATAGTCAGAGGGAACAACGTCTGGAGAATACGGCGGGTGGAGTAGGACTTCCCATTTCAACGTTTCCAAGTATGTCTCGACCACTTTCGCAACATGGGGTCGAGCATTGTCACGCTGCAAAATCACTTTATCGTGTCTCTCGTTGTATTGCGGCCGTTTGTCTTTCAATGCTCGGCTCAAACGCATCAATTGCGTTCGTTACCGATCGCCTGTGATTGTTTCAGTCGATTTTAATAGTTCATAATACACTACGCCGAACTGGTCCCACCAAATACAGAGCATGACCTTGGAGCCGTGAATATTCGGTTTGGCCATCGACGTGGAAGCATGGCCGGGAACTCCCCATGATTTTCTGCGCTTGGGATCGTAATGAACCCATTTTTCGTCCCCAGTCACAATACAGAAATCCCTTCCGTCTTTGCCTTTCAAGCAGCTGTTCACAAGCAAACAAACGCCGTTCAACATCTCTAGGTTTCAATTCGTACGGCACCCAATTTCCTTGCTTCTGAATCATTCCCATGGCTTTGAGGCGTTTTGAAATGACTTGTTGAGTCACTCCCAATGATCGTGCTAAATTCTTGATTTTGACACGAGTCTTGCTCAAGTAATATCTCCAATTCTGCATCTTCGAAAACCTTCTCTCTTCCACCGCTATGCCGGTCTTCGACGTCAAAATCACCGTTCTTGAAGAGTTGAAACCACTCACGACACATTCTTTCACTAATAGTAGCCTCACCATAAGTATTTGAGAGCATTTGATGAGCCTCAGCTGCAGATTTCTTCATATTGAAGCAAAAAATTAAAACCTCCCGCAAATGACGAGAATTTGGCTCGTAAACTGACATTTTCAATCGAGAATAACTTTATGATGCAGACACAAATCGACTAATGTTTCTATGGGATTATGTTGACAGATGCCCAAGTTTATTGTATGACGACTATGATCTATTTATTTCGACCACCACTTACCGCTAAAGCCATTTATAGGAAAACGGCGGAAGCAAAGTTGTACACCTAATAATATAAATAATAATTTAATTTAATTTAATTTTTTTATTTTATTTTTGGAATCTGCTACAATATGTGTCTGTTATTATTTATTACATAAATATAATTTATAGCTTCAACTTAATTTTTTAATTTGTATTTTTCAGATTTTGAAGGTGTTATATATCATTATATATCATCTCTTCTATCTACATCTTGAATGCTATGTATTGACATCAACATACGATATCCATTTACTGCATTTATAAAATAATATTGATACTCACCAATAACTAAAAATATATTTATTCGAAAGCTACAAAATCTTCTAAATTAAATCTGATATGGTATGTGTGAAGAAAGAAAGATGAAAACATCATGAACAACTGATGAGCTACGAAAGAAGCATTGAAGAATCATGTATCAAGTATAAAATTATCATTGAGTTCTGACTACATAGGTAAATTTAATGTTAAGACGTATACAACAAATACTCCAGAAAGATGATTTTTGGATTAAATATTGATAAAACTGATTAAAAAACGTAGCTTTCAAATATTTACTCATTCTGTATAAATGTAGGTAAAACGGATCATGCATTTAATGTATAATACATTAATACATCTATATGTATATTGACTGTATATATTTGAGAAATCTTTAAATTATTAGACAAATTTTAATTTTAATGTTTAAGAAAATATGTCAATCAAGAATATGTGGAATATTTTTAATCAAATTTAAAGAAATTTTATCGGTCGATGTATTAATTCGGCATGAAATTATTCTCAAACTTGAGGAATGTACAGAACTTTTGTCTTGTCCAATCTTGAACAATCGGATATTGTTCCAAGATATATTTGTCTTGTATAGCTCAATCTTCAATATTTCTTTCCATATATTGTTTTTCATTTCCACATATTATTCAATATTTATACGTAATAGTTCTTACAATATTCGTTAATCCGGTGGATGTGCTTTCTCAAAATCTTAATAAAATTCTTCCTCCTTGTATCCAGAAAAAATTTCATATTTCAGATTTAACGACGAGAATATGTTCTCCATTTAACGCTCAAAACGCTCATGGAATCATTCCATCCTTGTTGTTTATCAAATGTTAAACAAGAACAAACGATATCCGTGAGTGTTGTGAGTGTGGAATGCATTCTATATCTTTTCTTGAAGAAAATACTTTTTTGTCTCTACCCATGATATTATAACGTTTAACTTCTTAAATATACTTCTTGTATATTTGATTGATAGCTGCAAATTCTTTCAGTGCTGCTGCAGATCTGCGTAATGATAATTTTCCAATTTTTGAAAACACAGTAAGACGATTAAAAACTGCTATAATTCGTTTATATACACCCGTAAAGATAATTGCATTCACAAAGGCTTATCGAAACAAAAAAAAATTGAATTTGCTATTTCACAAGAAGTACATATATAATGTTGCATATTTAATTTTTTTTATCTCGATAAGCCTTTGTGAATGCAATTATCTTTACGGGTGTATATAAATGAATTTTAGCAGTTTTTAATCGATGTCTTACTGTGTTTTCAAAAATTGGAAAATTACTATTACGCAGATTTGCAGCAGATCTGTAGCAGCACTGAAAGAATTTGCAGCTATCAATCAAATGATTTTTTTTATTTTATCGCATTGTAGTTTTTCTTTTGTGTTATTCTTCTTGTGATCCTTTAAAACTTTAAAGCCTTCTTTATATTTTTTTATTCATAATGAAACAATTTTTGTGCTGTGTATATTGCATAGTTCATGCAATATTTGTCTTTTCTATTTTTGTTAAGATTTACTCTGAAATTGGCATACTGGCTTATTCTTTTATTTTTATAGAAAAAAGAAGAAATCAACTGATACAATCGGCTTTAGTGAAGATAAGTCTTAAAATATAATTCAGTGATATGATTATTTTTTTATTTCTATTTTTCTTTCTTTCTTTTCATAGTAAGTATAGAATTACGTACAACTAAAAAGAAGTCTGTTCTATAATAAATATACAGAAAAGAAAATATAATTTAGAAAAAATGTAGAAATAAATAAATAAAGAATAATACAGCCAACTAATAAAATAAACAAATAACTAAATAAAAATTAATCTTTTTGATAGAGAAATAGTAATAAATCTCTTTCCAGAGATTTCTTTTCGATTTTTAAAATATTTTTCGATTCTTAAAATGTGTAAAAAAACATTTCGAACACTATTTATTTTCTCTTTATATTTTAAATTATTTATATTCTTACTTTGCATCGATGACACAGTTGAAGTTTTGCTAAATAATTTTATATGTTCATATTTCTTACAATTAAAAATAAATAATTTAAATTTTGATGTTTTAAATTTGTATACAAAGGTTTCAATTTCATCTCTTTCACGTTCTCTCTGTTCACTTACTGTCGTTCGTGTATTACAGCTCGTAGTAGCAATAAGTATATCTCGTGCGAATAATTATTTTTTCCCCTCGATATAGACGTCCAATCCGGACGTAGCAATTTATGTAATTTCTCTCACCATGCCGCTCGATATAGTCGTTTTCTATATTTTAGCGATTTAAAGCTTCTGATCTAACCGACCATTATTCTGCACGATCTCCCCAGAGTCTTGCGCCCGATCACACACGGTTTCTGAATTTTTAAGATCCAGGGTAATTCCGGAGACAATGCACTCTCTTTCTCTGCAACCTTATTCATTTTTTTCTCTTGTTATCTATACCCGCACTTATCTTACCTGACTGTTGCAATCGATCTTATCTGGCAATTTTTCCGTCGCGATGGGAATATCTTAGCGGTACTTTTTATTGGTTCATGTCGAAGTGGGGGATTGATAGTGCGCAGCGATTCTTTCGTGTTCATCCACGTTCATCCCCCGTGCTCATCCATATGTTCAACGCTATACGAAGTACATGGTTGCATTTTCGACGAAATAGCGAAGATTCAAGATGGTATTGATGTAAGGAAGACCATCCCGGTCGAAAATACCATTCAAAGGCAGCACTCCGAAAATGAATTCGAAGACCGATTCCTTGAAGATCCTCGATGGCACTGTTAGTCGTTCAATCGAGATCGGTCTTCGCGTGATCGGCGTTTGGCCCAATTCATCCTTCATGGTCCTCCGTCGCGCTTTTTGGATAATCACTTTTATGATGGCACAGACCTTTCAGTATCGATATTTCGTTATACACGTTCGCACGGACGATCTCTCGCATCTGATGGATGGTCTTAGCACTACGATGTCTTATAGTCTCCTACTATTGAAACTTACAATATTTTGGATCAATCGACGGTGAGCTTCGCTTATCTAAATCGCGAAATGAATGCAATCTTTCCATGCATTTGAGAGTTCAAATTGATTTGGTATTTTTTTTAAATAAAACAAAGAATTAGTTTTGTATACAAAATATGCTAAAGAGAGAGAGAGATCAAATAAAGACAGATTTTCACAATTGTATATTTTATCGTTGCAACATGTAACATGATTTAAAGTATGTAAAGAAAGTGAAAGATTTATTACATTCTTTTATAATTATAAGCGAGCTCAAAAGGCAAAGTTTTTCACAGGATATTCCACGACATTTTAGCGATAATGTCCCAGGATCGGAGCGAGTGCATGACTAAGTGGGCCATCTACTCAATGTCAAGGACAACCGATATGTCGCATCGGTCTTCCAACTTGATCATTGGCCTTTATTCGATCTCAGTGTTTATTTACGGTACCGGCGTACTTGTTGCTCACCCTGACGAGTCCGACGAACAACTTGCGGAGCAGACGCGAGAATTGTTTCTTAAGATGGAGCTACCTTTCGAGTCCAATGCCTCTCCTATGTACGAGCTCGTAATGATCACACAGTTTTTTCATCAGCTCTCAGCAGCCACAATAGTCGGTGTAATTAATGCCTTAATTGTCTCACTGGTAAGTGAATATAAGCTAAAATAACAAAGAAAACAAAAAGATAAGTTATAAGGTCTAAGTTTTGGATCAGTACAAATCTTATTGGCAATAAAATAATATTTAATTAACGTTGCTTTATAAGTTGTTTTAAGTCATTTTTAGAAGAAAAGAATGTAAAAGAAAAATTTTTTTTATTTTATACTTATTAAAAAAAGAGAGAACAAATAGGGCTGTGTTCCAAAATTTACTACCAGTACTGAAAATCTATAGAGCACGTGACGTAAACTATAGATTTTCAGTACTGGGAGTAAATTTTGAGAACACAACTTAGATTAGATTCTAATTCTAAAGCATTTACAATTAAATTGATGCATATTGCACTAAATGTACAATTATATCAGGTAATGGAGATGTGCAATTTATATAAGTAGCTTATTGTAGAATAATAAAATAATTTCGATTGGTTCTCTCGGGCGCCGCATTGTTCGAGATAATGAGTATTCTGTATTATCCGCATGATTAATAACTTATTTCATTTACTTTATTTATGTGAAATGAAAAGCATTCTGGTAAATCTGATCGATAAATGATAATATGGAAATTAAAATGTTTCCATATTTTTGCCGTTAATTCCTCTATTCTTTTATAATAAATTATATATATAATAAATTTAATAT